AGTTGTGTAGGTAGTGTTGTGCCTCTGGTGATTAAAGGAGAGGGGGGTTTTGTTTATGTGTGTTTATGTGTGTGTGCTTTATGCCTCTGCTAGGACCGCACCTCAAAGAGATAAGACATCCTTCTGACAAACAAAGCAGCAGCAGCAGCTGTCTCTTGGATGGTTAAGATAAAGAGCAAATATCAGAGCTAATACAATTCAGTCGGTTTTCAGGCATTTTCCCCATTCCCCCCTTTCCCTCCCTTCCAAAGAAGGAGTAACTAATGAGGTCCCTGCTGAGCACTGCGAAGGTGGCAGCATTTGCCTGGCTGTCTTGCTCCAGAAAAGCTGCTCTGGGCCACATGGTTGTCCTCCTACCCTAGGGTAAAACAATTATTTGTTAGTTAAGATCTGTTCATGACAAATTTCTGCTGCTTGTTTTCGCAAGACTTACTACAGGCAATCCCTGTGTCACTGGTCAGTTCTGGCCTCCGTACGCTCTCATCTCCTCCAATTGGCAATTTTTTTTTTCTTATTCTTTTCCACTAGCCGCTGAGGAGGCAGGAGGTGACCAAAGCTGGAGAAGGCTTTTGTTGCTATTACCTCTCCAGAAAGTCAGCTGCCCGATAGAAGGCAGCAATATGGAGAGATGGGATTTTTTCATGCATAAAAAAGTAATAGTGAAAGAAGGTTTTTTACCCTTTACCCATGAGGAGTGACTAACCAGGAGAAGGGCATGGCAGAGTAATCCTGTAATCCTCTCCAGATTTCTACTGCAAGACATTTTGTCCTGAAGATCAGCACAGTCATAGAAATAATGCAGAGTAATCAGTCTCATCTTTCCCCAGCCCCCATCCTTGCTCCCGGCTATTAGCAAATTAGCAAAATCTTCCCAAGCCTTTTGCATGAGACTTACTGTGTCATTACTTTACCAAAAAAAAAAAAAAAGGGGGGGGGGGAATGAAAAAAAAGGCTAATCTCTGCCTCACTTCTTATCATTCCCTATCTTTGCCCCCTTTGTTATTACCAATGAGTCATACTTCACCTTTTCCTTAGTCTGCATCTCCCACACTCACTCTTCTACTGGCTTTCCTGCCACCCCTCTCTCCTGGAGTGAATTCTCTCCTCCTTTGCATGAGAAATTTCAGTTTCCAAAACGGTATTTTAAATTCAGGTCGTATGCAGACTTGCATCCTATTGTCCCTAAAATAAAGATCACCCTCATTTCCTCCATACATGAGCACTGCTGATAAAAAAATTGAGATGTTCCCCTCCTTTTTTTTAACAGTTCATTACTATATGCATACTGACAAGGCATTGGTAAAGGTATATTTTAGCTGAATACCTAATTCAGTACAAATGACACATTTAATGGAAGAAAAGTATTTGGGGTAGCTATACACAAAACATAAATGCTGGAATCCTGGGGACAGATACTCATTTTGGATTTGCACCTTGTCTTATAATTTAGATGTGGGGCTTCTTCCTGGTAATAAGCTTGAAAGGGGGGGAAAAAAATCATGGGGCAAACTGTTACTTTAATCACAGTTTTAGACTTGCTGCGAAAACTTAATTTGCAAGAACATTTGCTGCAATACGAGAGCAACACTGTAAACATGGGAAAATAATACAAATGCACTTTTCTGGGAACAAAGTGAAACCAAGGAAGAAAAAAACAGTGCTGGTGAGGAAGTTAAGGCTGTGAATCAACAGCCTCTGCTGAGAGCGTGTGCAAAATCCATAAGAACAGAACAGAACTGAACCAGTTTCAGAGAACATGAGAATAGTTCTCTGAATGCATTGCTGAGTCTGTTGTGGGATTGATTCAGCTGATGTCATTGTAGTCATTAAGTAGGAAAATCGGTTGTCACTCATCGTTAAATACCTATAGCATTACCTAGTTAATCAGTGAGACAGATCAAATGATGTTGAGAATATTTCAAGTTTTTGTCATCATTTCATTCATGCTGTTTTGAAAGTGTTCTGAAGAAGGGAACGTGTGTGTGAAGTTCCCTCCACAAGCGTTAGTTTAGGATGTTCCTCATCTTTTAGTCTGAAATTGGGCCTCTGAAGGTTATTTGTGACATTGTGTCTTCCAAGTTTGTGAATATATACGTTTTATTTTAAATGCATACTGCAGAGAAGTCCTAATGTTTGCTCACGTGTACGGTCCTAATAGAGCAAAAGTACTTGGGGTCTGGTGCAAAAGGTTCTGCGGCTTTGTGTTTCTTCATGATGGCAACAATCATGAACATGTAACTAGTGTCAATGAGAACATTAGTGATATGTCTTAAGTTACACAGTTCTTCTTGACTTCTGTATGTCGATCTTGGTCATATGGTGACCGTTCTCCCATCATATGACCTGTGATGTTGTGATGCCTAGACTGGAGGTATACTGGAGTGGGAGCTTCAGCCTCCTAATCCTGCCTGGGAAATACATTCTTGCCTAGAAGCAGTTCTCCGTGCAAATAGGAGTGAACTTCTACAAAGTTAATTTTCAAGGAGCTGATCTGATGATGATTATTTGGCTACAGTGGTTTTTTGGTCAGATCAGTTTCCTAACCTAGCCATTTATGCTGCCACCACAAAGGGATGGAAATATGCAGCCAGGGATGCAGGGAGTTGAGACTCCCAGGCTTAAAAGGACTGGGAAAATGCGCTTTTAGTGACTGATGTCTTCGGCACCAACCAAGCTAATTTTATTTGGGCAATTAACATGTCCCAGAGGACTTAATATGAGCCTGGTGCCAGCCAGTCTGAGACTTACTTGTGTTCAGTTGTGTCTCACTAAAGATATGAGAAATTCCAGTGATCAGTTAAGAGACTGCTGAACTGATCAGATCTGAGACGCTAACTCAGTTGGCCCTTGCTTGCTCCAAGATACGAAGGCCTAATTTTTCACAATTAACAGTCACTGAATGTTTTGTTAACATAGGCAGAACTGTTTGCTTTGTTTTTCCTGTTCCCCTCAATCTGATTTTCAGAAATGTCCGGAGCATATTAGCTCCGTTTTTTCCAAACAAAACAATAGCATGAGGAGTTTCAGTCCAATCAGTTAAAACTTGGGAGAGTTTTTAACTGACTGCAAGGTCCTAACATGGAAAATGGCAGGCAACCATAGTTTTTTTGCTTCTGGGCTGTCATGTTCATAGCACATCAGTCTTTGTTCTGTTGAGTTGGTGATGATCTTGTGGTACGAATCCAGAAGGGATCTCACAGATTGTTTTGCACAGAAAATGAAAAGAGTGATAGAGCTGTTGAAGACACAGGTTTATATTGTTAAGAGTCACCCACTTTCTGGGCTGGGAACACCACTTATCCCAGAGGTGAGGATACATATCCTTCCAGCCTACGCATCACAACAGCGTTTGTTTTCCTCCTATTTGTCGTCACTTGGGATAGAAGCAGTGTTTCACGGCTCCGAAGGATGACTTAACCTTGGGAGGTTGTGGAGGAATTGTACCTAAGCTTTCTTTGCTTGGTGAAGACTCTGTTTTTGTGGGACCCTTGTAGCCAGAGATAACAGGGCAGATATGGGAGCCTTCATTTGTGTTCAGTCCTACCACTCCTCAAAACCAGCACCAGAATCTGAAAAATGAGGACTCTCAGCTGGTGCTTGCACAGCTGCTGATGTCTGAAAGGCTTTCAACTTTTATCCTGTGTCGAATACAGCCCTTGCAAGGGTGTAAGCCGAAGTTAAAACAGTTCATAATGAACAAGGAAACTGTGATTCATGATCTGTGATCTTCCATGTGCCTAAGCTTCCCTGCAAAGAAATACATGGATTTCTTCCAGAGAAATGTAGGACCTCATTTCATTTAAAATGTGTTTTATAAAGATGTAATGACTACTGTTGAATACTTTCAGGATGCATGTAATATATTAGATGATGTGCTCCAAAAGCAGTTGGAGTTGGCTTGCTGTGAACAATGGTACTGCTCTGGAGAAGGTAGTTTTGGCAGGTACCTTTGAAATGAACTGAGTTCTGCTGCCTACTGCACCCCTGAGTTTTATTTAGAAATACAGATGTGTGTGCTACCCTCAAAGGTAATTATTGTCTCCCTTTGAAAAGTTTCCATGCTTAACTGTCTCTTTCTGGGGCAATTAAACCAATCTTGTAGACAGCAGCCTCCTTCCTCCAGCACTGCATGACTCATGCTATCGTGGCTGTTCATCTCGGGTGCAGAATCTTGTGAAATGCTTTTTTGACTTTCTAAATGTATGACATCCACTGATTTTGCCTTATCTGCTATGACAGTAATATCTTCTCCAAATGCCAGCAAGTTGGTTAAGCAATACTTCCCAGCCCTACAGCCCCTACTTCCGTAGATTACTTTAATCGAATTGTTTGTTTAGCAGGTTCTTTAATTACCTCCTTAAAATAGTTCCTCTGGGCTTCTTCATACCCAGTATTGAAAGTAATAATCTGTAGTTTCATGTTGGATTTTTTGTTTGGTTGGGGTTTTTTTTTAAGAAAAATTAACGTTTCACTCATTGCATTCTCAGGATTCTTTTTTTAAAAGAGTTCTAGAAAATTTAATGCTTGCTTTGCCAGTTTGAATGTTGGTGATTATTACTTGTGAAATATGTCGCTTTGTTTACTTCTAAGCAGAATTTTTATATTTATACACACACACATATATGTTTGCATCATTGCTCTGTCTGCATTGCAGAATGCACCTCAAGTTAGGCAAAAACTCAAACTTCTTTCTTTATAGGTACACAAACCCCATAGTGCATAGACGTTAGTTGATCTAATCCCCCATGCAAGCCCTTTATGCTTTTTTTCAGTCATGCTTCTCTATTTCATGGCCCTGTTAGGTCCTGCAAATATACATGAGAAAACCTTTAACGATTAGCGGTTTTGTTTAATGATACGGGTGTTCATTATTTGGTAGGAATTCTCCAGGAGCTGTAGAGGACAAGCCCTGTTTTGAAGCTTGTAAAGTAATTTTCAGAAATGTGCTAACTAGTTTGTTATGAACAGGAGCCAAGGAGTAACAGATAAATGTTTTGCAGGTTATGCCTCCTTGTCCAGGATGCCTATGGTATGTTCAGTGAAGTGCAGTTGCAGTCCCTGAGTTCTGCAGATGACATTGAGCAGTATTGCAGGAGATGGGAAGGAAAATTCTGCTGCCTAGCTGGAATGAAAATTTTGCAAAGAACCACAAGAGGAAGGTGAGAATTCGTGGGAGAACGTACTGCGTGCTGTGGCAGGCAGAGATGATCTGCCTTTTTATTTATTTCTGTGATCAATATTCTTTGGAACAACTGAATTGGGCTGTGTTCAATTAAATGCCCTCATTGCATAAATAAGCTAACACACAAACACACACTTAACAGAGCAAGGGATAGAGAACAATTACGGTATGCAATATTTCATAAAACATGAGTGTTTTCTTCCTCTTCAGTAGATTCAAAGACTTAAAAACATTAGTTCACCTCCCTTTCATTGCAGAACAGTTTATTACAGTATATTTATCTACAGTGCTGCCCAGTCTGGGTTGAAGATTCAAGCACAGACTTTCCCTTAGTATATGCCAGCTTGATTCAGTTAAGTCTATATACTTTTGGAAGCACAGTTTAAGTTTCTTTAAAAAGAAAAAAAATCTTACAAATAGTAAAGCCATTCTTATTTTGGAATAAGAATGTCCGCAGGTTTATACAAAAATTGCCCCAGAAAAGGAACAAATTGACTTATGGTACCTCTCAGGTTTTGCTTATTCTGTGATTCCTTTTACTTTCTTTGAATAAAATAAAATATCTTTAATCAAGAAAAAAAACCCCTTTGAATATATCAATTATCTTACGGAGTAACTTTCTAAGGAAAGTGATATGGTGTTCAGATGGGGACTTATATAAATGTAATTAGACTCTCAACTCTCAACATAATTTATTCGTACAAACATCCGATCTAGATAAGCCTTTGGTATTAGAATGGCTATGATATTTCTGCTGACACTTTTTTTTCCTGTTGAAAAATGCTGTTTCATCAAAACCAGAATGTTTCATGGAAACATATCTATTTTGGAGACAATTTTGCTGGGAAGTTTTTTTCAGGTCCAGAGGGAGCGAATACTCTCTCTCTCATTGTCATTTCATGAAAACTTTCAGAAAGTCTCATTTTTGTTTCATATTGGAACAAAAACAAATTTCAAAGCCTTGAAATGTTTAGCAAAATGGAATTGTTGTTTTCCAGCCAGCACTATTCAGTGTGCTTTTCTTTTTATGTACTTGCAGTGTTAATTTTCAGATCCTTTGGATTTCAAGCCTACTTGCATTTTTATGGATCTTTAATAACAAACACGTCTTCTTATTTAATTATTTTGTTGGCTTTTTTTTCAAGTTACATTTTTTCCAAACAAATTAAATAATGGCCTTGGAATTCTGGATACAAATGAAGTTTTACAACTGGCCGCTGGTGTTTCCAGTACTCTGCCTAACTAATAAGAGACAGACTTTTTCTAATGTAAATTGTGTTTCAAAGCAGCAGTAACTTACTTCTGGCTATTCTGAGGACGATTAGAAGACACACTGCTGAAAGTGCCGGTGGCTCAGCTGGAGCTGTGCTGGTGGTAACCCTGCTAGAAAACATTAAAAGAAAAAGGCCAGTGTCGCTTGAGGGACAGGGCAGTGGTTAAAACGTGATTTCATTGTACAAGATGGGTGGGTGGGGGTATTGTTCGGGGATTTATTTTTTTCTTAATTGTTTTAGCCTAAGTTCTGCTTTATAACTTGTTATTACTTTTAAGTGTTGGGACACGTTTTGTGTCATTCTAGGTGTGATGGAAACCACAGTAAAGCCATAGCTGAAATGAGTATAAGGGAGTACTTATTCACACAGAGCGTAATTAGACTGTAGAACTCATTGCCACTGGATAAATGGGTTTCCAGAGCCAGTGGTATATCCAAGCACATGATGGGATATGCCTGTGAGTGCCCAACCTTGGCGTACCGCACATGAGTGAATAAGAACTATGTGGTCTGCCCTGCAAGAAATACGTACTGCCTGGTTGGTTGTTGGTTTTTTTTTTTTTTTCAGAACACCAATTACTTTTTGGAAGGAGATGGCTTTTAAACTGTTTGTTTCCTGGAGTCTAACAGTGGCTTTTAAAATGGATTAAAGGGAATAAAATGTAGGAAATATGAGGGAAAAGTAATGACTTTTTTTTTTGTGCCTTTGAAGCACATGATCTGGAGAAAGTCAGGAATGGCTAATAAGATCCCATATGCGCATGTTGTCCCACAGTCACATGAATTGCAATCTCTCTTATGGAGACAGAGTGCTTCCTCAGTCCCTCAGTGAGACAGAGGAGATTTTCATTTAACAGGTACAAGAGGTTCTCAAGTTTTTTGCATCAATGGACCACTGTTACTGTTAAAAAAAAATTCCAGGCTATCATCCATCCTCATCATCAAGTATTTAAAGTACTATTTAACATCATTCCACTAAATGCAATTTTAAAATCACTGTCATAAGCTGAAGTTGCATTTCAAGGACTAAAAACCTATAAAGAAGGGTATTTTACATCCAGGCAAAAACCTGGCTGTAAACCTGACTTTGTCTTTGGAATGGACCTGTACTGTAACATGTGCTAAATAAACTAAACCCATTTCTTCTCCCAATAAGAAAACCCTTGTGTTCCAGAAGAAAAGTGGGGTAAGAACTTACACAACCATGTCCTGTCTTTACCAAGATCAACCCTGTGAAAAAAACAGAATTATAGTAATCTTACATTGAGAGAAACACTGGTAATGTTGCATATTGTTTTTGAATACCTATATGCTTTCACAAGTACTAGGGTCTAGTACTAGGTTGTTTGAAGGTGTGTCATTGATTTAGGTTGCTTTCAGAACAAGTCCCACACCCCACGTAAAACATACTCCACAAAACCATCCCTGCAAAAAATCCTTCCCTTTGTAGTCCAGTAGAGGAACTGGTGTTTCCCTTTGCAGTCCACTTTCTGGCAATCCTGTAAGACAGATGGACAAAGTTGCCCATCTTATTGCAGTCTCTTATTTCCAGGACTTCCTCTAGTCTTATTGCAGTCTCTTATTTCCAGCAGTTCCTCTAGTCTGTTCATGAGGCTGTTGAATAAGGTAGGAACCAGTATTGTAGCAGCTGAATTAACAGCGCGTATGTGGTTCAGTGTCTGCCTCTTGATACCTTTTCTCTTCACCCTTTCATTTATACTTGTCTCCTAGCCTTTCCTACAAGTGTTCCCTGAACTGCACACTTAGTATCAGCAGAAAAGAAAGATACGGTGGTTTAAAGAGAGAAGACTGAAAAATGTTCGTTGATCTGTCGCTGGTGGTGTTGGCTCCTTAGAGGTGTATGTTCTCTCTTTTGTCCTCCCTGCACCTCATATGTCAGTCTTACAAATTCAGCCCCTTGAGAAAGAGGAAGTGAGATTTTGGTGGTGTACTGCTAGAGGCAGGAATTTTGGTTAAGAATCTGCATGCAGTACAACTAACGTAACCCCCCTGTTTTAATAGATCCCAGGCATGTTTCGGGTATGTCCGGTATAACCAGTAACTAGATGGATGCGATTAGACGCAGGGACTGAGCACTCACTAAAATGCCTCAGGAATAAATAACCTATAAATTGTCATAGTCTGTTGCTTCCTACCAGAAATTAATTTCAATGAACTGGGATAAAATGTGTAGTTAGATATCTGTCTTTATCGACAAAAATATTAATTTTATGTTTTTAGCCCTGACTGGAGTTCCACACAGAAGAATAACTTGGATTTTGACAATTTGTGTCTTTTCACCTGATTTGCCAAGCACTATGTTGTTTTACTGCTGAGTATAGTAGATCTACCTGCTTCTTCTCTTTATGTTTTATTATAAGGTAAAAATATGAGGAATTTCTATTCAGCAGTATGGAGAGATGACACCAATTTAAAAGGAGGGGGAGAGAAATGCTTTAAGTTAATACATACTTAATGCAGGATGTCAATACCTATTATGTCCCTAAATTGAAAATGCTTAACAAGTTTCAAAAGAAGATGCAACTGTTCAATGGATAGTGCTAAAATCCACACTTACGTTGGATAGGGTAAAATACTTTGAAAGATTGATCAAAACCTTTAATTTGTGGCAGGTTGTTCCATAATAATTCGCTGTACTGTTTGTTGTATTTTCCTTTGAAGTAAGTAGACTCTGACTATTGAGTTGATCAAACTGTGTTACGTTTCTCTGAGAAATTATTGCGTTTTCCAATAAAATTGGCTTCTGTTGTTTGTCAAATTTCAAATGTTAACTTTCAAATGTTAGGCACTGAAACGTGAAATCTCCCTGTATTTGTGCCAGTCTGTAGTGTTGGTCACTACTATGCTGGAGGGTTTTCTTCTTTCTTTCTTTTTATTAAGTCCCATGCTTCTCTGGCCTCTATCTCTCTCCTTTTTCCTCTGCTCTTCACTGTGTACTTTTCTTTTTGCTTTACACTCAGAAGAGAGGTCCACCACTATCTGCTGTAGAAGAAAGTGTTTCAACTGCTAGACGTTGACAGGAAATGTAATAGTAAGAACCCCCTGCAGAACAAGGAAGTCATAACTTCCTTCCTTTGGTTTTCCCTCCTCCAAAAAGACTGCCATCTAAAAGAGCTACCCATGCCTCTGAGGTTTTGAGGTCCTGAAACACTTCGGTAATTGCTGTGGTTAAAAGTCAAGTTCCATTTAAAGCATAATTTAAGTAATCGTGTTAAGGTTTTGAATATTTTCATTGCTTTTTCATTATTTCTGATGACTCCTTATGTATCAGAAATTAGCTTTGTTTCCTGAGTTTTCTGCTCTTTAACAAGCACGGGCTACTGCTTGTATCTTCAGTGCTTTCTGTCAAGAATCTGTTTAGTAACCAGCATTGGAGAATAACATAGGCATATCCATATTGAATCAAAAGTACTTTTATATTATAATTTCAGTGTTCTAATGTAGGATGTGTAATTTCTAATGTACTATAGAAAATTGAGTTCTTAAATTATGCAAATAAATTAATCAACAAAATAATTCCATATATCTAAACAAAACTTAGGGGGAAAAAAGCCAGCGACACTTCCTCCCTGTTTGTATTTTGACTGACATGCTGTTTTAGTAGGCTCAGATTTTTACTTTATGATTTTGTTGCTTTTATTACTCAAGTCTGAGAAAATACGGTGTTGCACTGCAAGATCTTAATAGATCAATTAAAGGGAGAGCTAGCCTACGCTATCAGTTTTATCTTTGGATCGCTTGTCTTCTGATAGTTGAAGCTTATACAGTCTAGGTGATTATTACTGAATTTCTTTTTAGTTTTGAACAAGGAGATGTTTCACAGAGGGCCAGGAATTGCTTTATTTTTGAGTTCTTAATAATTGAGGCTGATAATACCAAAAGGAAACTGTTTCATTTCAGACTAAAATTGGGAGACTAGGAGAGGAGGAAACAGAGAAGTGCCAAGTCTTGAGTCCCCAGAGCAAAGCTGTGGAAGACGTTGGAGCAGAATCTTAGCATCTTCCTTCCTGTCCCTTATCATAAACCTTAGGTAGTCATTCTTCTTTTCCTAGTTGTGGCCATTGTTTTACTTCTACCTTCTTTGATGTGGCTGATATTTTCTCCCTGTAGTAGTTTTCCTGTGAACCTGTAGTATGATTACTAAAACTGAAAAATCCCCCAAACTGTAAGTTGTAATGTTAAAAGTTGAATCAGGCATGTCACACAGAAAGTTCTTGGACCAGAACAGTAGATGGAACTTCATGCTTATGAGAGAAATAAACAAAATCTTCTTATTAAGTTATGAAATATGTTGACAGATCAGAGTCAGTGAAGTACAGTTTTGAAAAATCAAAATTTGAAGTTTGATTTTTGTAGTATATCTTGTAGTGTGAAATGAATGAAATTTCTGTAGGGTCAGTATAGATGTACCGAGACTGTAGATACCAGTTTATCACTTTGCTGAGTCTAAATATACTTACAGTGGTTTTTCTCTTTAATTTGTATGTTTTTATCAAAAATCATAGAGCAAACATGTATATGCACGTGTGCCATGTATGCCATTTAACTTCACAGAGAAGGACTAAACAAGCCAGGAATGTTAGTAGCAGAAGGTGACTTCTGTCTCCTGCTGAGCTGTAAAACTGAGAAGGAAAGTGGTTAAGTGAGCTAATGAAAACAGCTTCTTCTGTACAGGGCAACACAGTTATCACCTGTGACAAGAACTGTAGGGAGGGAAAAGTAAATTCTATTTTATTAGTATCACGCACTACCTTCCAATTACTTTTCTATGAAGTAGTTTAAGACAATTTGTTAAATAGGTCAGGATTAATTTCTGCACATGCTGCATGTGTATTTTGCATTTTCTCTGCCATGTATTTAGCCCGTTTAAGACTATAAAATCTTATATAAAAGTATCATTATATATAAGTGAAGCTTGAAGATGTGAAGAGGATCTGTATGTAGAGGACTGCCTGTTGCAAGTCCATACTTCTCTGGAAGTCTATAATATAATACTCCATTAGAGTTACTGGTGGCCTTGCTATGTTGGTGATAAACGGTGGACATCTGCATATTTAGTATGGGACAAAACAATTTTTACCAAACATAGATTTCAGTTTAGCATGGGAAGTAGGGGATTGAATCTGTTATTTAGAATCTGATAGATGATTTCTGTCTTCCTGGTATGGATTCAGTCTTTTTTTCTTTTTTTTGGAGAAAAGTTATAGAATATTACAATAGAGTCTTTGTCTCTGAAATAAAAAAAAAAGTTATTCAAAATACTTTACATGTTCTTTTTTCTTATCCTTGAGCCTGTGTCTTCTCACTTCTTACTGTACTTTTCCTTTTTTAGAAGTCTGTCCTTTTGCAATCAAACCTTTTTTTTTTTTAAATAGTGACTAGTAATTACACTCACATAGCAAAATTTGACAGTTTTTATTTTGCCTTCTGTAGCCAGAAAAGCTCTTTGTGCACATGGGGGATAACCCTGTATGTCCCTTCACTGTAGCACAGAGCCAGCTGTTCATCTCTTGTCCTGACTCTATAGCTGAGGAAGGATATACATACTGGATAAAATACACTCATTGTTCAAGTCAGATTGAAGTGGGATTTCAGTATTGCTTGGCCAAGGAAGAGAATGAATTTTATTCTTTCTGTGAGGATTGTGATTTTCTAGAGTAGGACACCGTGTCCTGCCATTTCTCCACTGTCGTTGCCTCCCTCATTCCCCCTTCTGCTAGGTCAAAAACCGTAAATATAAAGAGAGAGTTAAATTTCTTGGAGACATATGAATGGGTAGGGCAAGAGGAGAGCTCCTCACTAGGGACACTGACTGATACAGTCCCTGGCACATCAGTGACAGCTCCAGGAGACATCCCTTTTGGTAGAAAAGGATCCCAGTAGGATGTGATTTGGAACGTGCAAATCCTTTGGGTGGCAAATGTCCCTTTGCCTGGCTGGTGTCAAAGAAAAGGTTAGGGCCAAGATGTTCAGGAGACACTCTTTACACAATGCTGCTCCTCTGCCTGTTTGTAAACAAATACTGTCATTTACTAATAATTAAGTGCTCCCGGTTCAAGTGGTAGATGACCTTCTCCAAAAGGCCACAAGTAATTGAAGAACATGTACTGTACGTCTTAGATATTCTGATATGGGTCACAAGCTGGAAGAGAGCTAAAGAAGAAGGGACAACTTCACGTCCCTTGTGCAATCTTAAAAATACAGATGAGGGATCAATGCACAGTCTGTGTGGAGATGCGATTACACCTGTACTGCAACAAGACAGCTTTTGTGCTATAAGATGTTAAATACACATGCACGGAGTTTGTGGTACGCTCATATCTGCGCTCTGCCCTTGCCCTTGTGCTGTGTGTTGTGTGAGGAAGGCCACCTGTGTAACTGCCTGTAACTCTACGGAAGGCTTCGCTCTGTTTTTGTAACTCTCCTTTTTCACGCCCCAGTTAGCAACACCCGTTTGTTCCATTGGGCATTGGCCCTCCTGTGACTGTAGAGAGTTCTGTACGATACAGGACAGAAAATGTCACCCTGAGCCAGGATTCCAGAAGTGGTCAATTTGCTGTAAAGTCTAATACCCAAGAAGTGCTTATTTGTATGCTGTAATGTTCTCACTGTTAAAAACAAATCGCAAAACAACAACAAAAAACCAGCCTCTGAGCTCAGCCTTCTCCTTTTACAGACTCAGCAGTGATGCCCTATAAGTCAGGAAGTTCATTTCTGTAAAAAAGCAGCACATTAGTGTTTCTGGTTTGTTCATTAGTGTGGAGAACACGACTACACATAGCAACATCATCTTTTTAATCTGCCAGCTTGTTACCTGAATTGTGAACCACAAGCTTTATTCCACAAGGTCCATTCTGAGATTTACATCCATGAAACTTCTTACAGTGCTGGTCCAAAGGCATCACTATTAACATTGAATCATAGATGATACCTGGTGCTTTATGAAAAGGCACGGGAAGAAATTCACTGCCTGTAGACACCCAAAGTCTAAGCACTTAAGGATCCGGAGGAGGACTAGGGAAATACAGAAATAAATAAGCTTAAGCAGAAGTGAGCTAAAAGCAGAACTGTAAAGGAGAGTTTCTGTGACCCCTTGAAGAGAAGCAGCATATTGCAATGACCTTCAGCCCGTATGCCTTTTCCTTCTTCTAAACAGTTGAATTGAGAAGCTGATAATACTTATAGCATGTTTTGGACTTCATTTTTAGAGCTGTTCCAGAAATAGTGGCCGTCTTAATTGGAGGAACAGACAACTCGTTCTTGGAGGCAGCGTGGGGTTAAAATCCAGATCTTTGTGCTTCAACTACACAGAACAGAGAACTAGGACAAGATAACTGAGAGCTTTAACTCAAAAATGCATGCCTCTTCAAGTTGGTTATCTGTAGCTATTTCCCCTCCCTCAGCTGTTTTCTTGGCCTCTCCCTCAGATGTTCCTGCCTGTCCTGCAGGGATGCCCTATCAACTGACCAGGCAGCCACTGTACGGCTTTGCATGCGAAAGCTAAAGAGTCTGCAGCATTTTACCTTAATTTGCCGGGCTGTTAATTTTATATTTGCTTCTAAATGAAAAGTGGGAAACTTGCAAAATAAATAAATAAAACCCATCACTAAATGAGCCACCGTGTAGGAAGGAGACGGTCCTCTGCACATGTACTTAAGATAACAAAATTTTGCCTGTTTCTCCATATCTGATAATTGCTGACTTTCCTGAAAGCAGTTACAATCAGCTGTTAGAGAAAAGCTAGAAATGAAAATGTTAGAAGCAAAATTGTTATTATTTTTTTAATCTGTCAGTTAAAATAGTTAAAAGCTTTTTCATAAAAGAAGTTGTACTGGTATCTGTGTCCTTCCCAAGCTAGCATTTACCCCAGTTCCTCTGAATTTTATCGTATAGCAGGCTGTTCGTGGCCAAGGATTAAATATGACTTGCTTGTCACTGAATGTGATGCATCCCTTCCCTCCCTCTACACCCTGCAGCAGAAATGATGGAGATTTAATTAGACCAAATCAAAACCAGCTTCCAGAGAACAAATATGATTTAAAATTGTTTTCATAATCATGCAATGGTTTAAATTATATTTCTTAATGAATCTTTTTAATATAACATATAACACTGGGAAACATTTTAAACCTGATTTTATTGGTCTTTTTGAAGGGCATTAGGACTTTTTAGTCTGATAGACAGTCTGTGGCCTCCAGTAGTGCCTGTAAAAGTTCCTGGACAAAGTCAAGACTCTGAAATGGTAAGTCTTGTTATTATGGAAAGGTATTTTTTCACTCACAACTACTATTTTTGTTGGTAGTGTAATCATGTTTACTTTGGGAATCATATTCTTTCTCTCCCTCTCTTCAGCTACTGAGTTTTGTGTTACTGGTTCCAGCAACCTCCTAGGCTAACTTGAACCCCTCTGGATCAGCAGCATCTTTCCAAAATAATGCAATTAGCCCCTTTTTAATCCTCTAGAGTTAGAATGGTAGGATGTCCAGATAGACTATTCTTCTCCTTGCAGGAGGAAAGAGATATTAGATAGCATGGAGCCAGCAGAGAAATCTATATACGAGGATGCTAACTCATTCTTTGACGCACTTTTCAGTCTTAGATTCAAAAGCACTTTTCTGAAGATTAACTTTTGTGAGGACAGACTGACTGCTGGAATCAGATCGCGTACTAGTTAGGATGATTTTGACTGATATTCGACTCAGGTGAAGACAGTTAAAGGATGAACACAAACCCAATGTACTAAAAAGCAGTGAACGTTTCTGCGATTATAGGGGGTGGGGAGGTATTAAAATGGATGTAAAGTATGTTACTATACATTTGCAATTCTAAAATTGCATCTTTAATTTTCCTTTAATTAGCTTTTGTATTTGAAATGGAGTTCTGCCATAACAAGTGTCATTTTAGTAATACGAGATCATTTGAGAAGCTTCTGGCTAACCGAGTTGCTTGTGCTGTCCTGCTGTTCTTCTGTAGCTGTTCTTTGGGGAAGAAGTTTGTGGTATTAAAAATTTGTGTTAGAGCCTAGGGGAATCAATCAGGATGCAAATTCTAGAAAAGAAGAAAAAGCTGAAAATAAACAACTTCCAAAACCAGGGGACATTAAAAGTGGATATTACTAGTTATTTCTGAAGTCTGAGAATCTTTCCTCTGCAATGTAGAGTGTTCTTTGCATTGTGCAGGGGTTTATGTTGAAGAATAAAAAGTTCAGACCTTAGTTATATATAAAACCAAGAATGAAACTGAGTGAAACGGCTGTTCTCTCCTTGACTCTGCTTTTCACCTAGACGTTTTGGAAGTCTCAGAGGGATGGATTGTTTTGTGCATTAAAATACTGTGGACAACAGAATGGGAATATCCATGGACGGAGCAAAGCTCTTCAATGTTGTTTAGCATTGTTATGACTCTCAGTTGTTCTTCATTTTCTCTATTTCATTAGCAATCTAAAAATGGAGGAAACTTTCCATAATCATGCAATTTACACTTCTGTCATGGGTTTAAAATACTAATTCATTCCACAGAAGATCCAGACTTGCAGCCTGCTGCTGCAGGTTTGTGGCTGAGTGGAGTTTTTTCAGTTGAGATACATTTTTGTTGATACAAACAGTATAGTTTTATGCACAGTTTTATGGAAGCAGTTTTACACATAGGTGCATAAATAATATTGCCAGCACGCAGATAATATTGTTGGGAAGAGATCTGTGGAACTGTTTTCTTTTGAGCCATATGTACATTCAAATACACTCTTTAGTGCTGTCAGAGGCAAACAGAATTTGAGTTGATGTCTTTTGCTTTTTTTTCTCCTTATGCAGATTTTTTTTAATGGGTGAGCAGCTGTCTTTAATAGATTCATATTTCTTTTATTAAATGAAATGCTTTATTAACAACAAACATCGCTAGAAGAATATTTTACCATATCCGCAATAAATATTATTTTCTAGCATTGTCTTTTTTTTCCTGAGAAGCCTTTCTAGTTTGGGACTTCTTTAAGTGGTGATTGATAAAGTTGTTACGTCATGGTACGTTTTAAGGGGGAAAGAAAAATCTGGCATAGCACAAAGAGAGCAGTTCTTTTAGCTGTTGCATTCCTGTTCTTCATTATCTCCTTGTGCTGCCCTGGATTTAATTTGGCATCTTTAAAAGTTTGTCAGCTGTTTACTATCACAAAAACCCACCCACATGCAAAAGTCCCCATATATCAGAAAAGTTACGGATGTTAAAGAAAAAAATAAAAAGAATAATCAGTTCACTCCTACCAGGTAATAAAAAAATGCAAAAATAACAACAAGCGCCTTAAACTAGTCGCAGTGTTTGCCAAGTGTGCCAAATCACAAGATGTTTTTGTGATGAGGACCAATGTCAGATTATGGAAAGAATGATACGCAAAAGCTGATTTCACTTATAACTTGTGAATGTCAGTTTATTAACTCAACTTCTACTTCAGAGAGTTGTTGTTATTAACCATATAATCTTGTTTTCCCGTGCCTCTTAAAATGTAAATTGTGTGGTTCGTTTTGGCTATTATTATGAAACCCAACTGGCCATATTAAAGCACCGTTTTTAAAGTCACATTTCTTTTCCTTACTTCTTAATAGATGACAACTAATCTTCCTCCTCCCAGCTTCTGTTATATTCTTACTGTTCAGTCTGGTGAAGTACATGTGGAAGTGGATGAGGAAGAACAGATTTCTGATTTGTACCAGCCACCAGCTGTTCATGGTCTAAAGGAAATTCTTCAGGTAATCTGCTTTACGACTCAAATACTTTGTACCACTGGATTTCTGGTATCATGTTTGTCTCATTCCCTGTTTTTGTACCTATTTTCAGATCGGTGGTTGTAATGAACGTTGTAGCTTTTGGGCGCGAGTGCTATATCTAAGGCTGCAGGTAATCTTTCCACTTAGCAATGAATTCAGCATGTTTATGTGAAGAAGCCAGTATTTATCTTGTTTCGGGCTAAACACCAAAACCTTCCTAGGGTTATCTTCAAGAGTTGTATGAGCAGAATTATCATCAAGTCTAAAATGTTTGTGAACAGGTAAAATGAACTGCATCTTCAGTTTCAATACCGTCCAGTCTAGAAAGTGAATTACTTCTGAATAAATTGCTATCTAACCAGAGGTAGTATTTCACCCTGGTGAGGGAGCTTGCAGGAAGCTGGTTGAGACTCGGTTTGTAGCTAAATGCTATCCTTAGATACATAGTGAAAAGTTCCCAGGCAGTTGAGTGTCTGGGGATAGAATTTAACAGATGATGGTTATATAAAAATACAGTTTTGCTCTTTGCATGCAAGTGTGCGGACTACTTTTGTTGACTTCAATAGAAGCCCCTCAGGCAAATTTGGCTTTTATGGTCTAGTTAGTAAAAAGGAGGAACTCTTAGGTAAATACATCTGCCATCCATACTATGTTGGAAAGCTTATAATTATGTTTTATTTATTTGTTTCTGAACAACGCTACAATTTTCTTTCAAAATGTTGCTAACACCCTCAGTAGTTAAAAGAATTTTTTGTTGCTGATTTATTTATTTTTTCCTGGCGACTGGATCCTCAGTACAGCCAGCACTGAATACTCGTGGAGAATAATTTGCAATTGTCCATCAGCTCCACAAGAAACAAAGTGTGAATCAAAGCATATGAACCAAAGACAAAGAAATTCCAGAACGGCCAGCAAAATAGCTGGAGATGCTTCCCACCAGTGTGAGACATAAATTTAATTTAGGTCTTGCCCTTTTGCTTAAAAAGCCAGTGAGTTATGATTTGATTTTTAGTCAGGAAGTACTTTTAACTTCTGAGATGAGGGAAGTCACTTGTGTTTTCTCCATGCTAAGTGAGAATTTAACAGAGCATTTGCAAACGTGAAATTAGGACTAGCTTGATGGGATCTTTAAGGTGCTAACAGAAAGATAGACACATACATGCGTAAACTTTTATTTCCAAGAAACCTGTTCTATTAAAAAATAAAATAAAGTTACAGACTAGTGGTATCCTAGCCAAATATTTTTGTATTCGGGAATGTCTACATCTGAGATGCTGTGGGTCATCAGTATTCTTGTGTAGAAGCACTTCATCACTAAGTTAGAGTAAAGATGAAGCACGCAGGAACAGATGTGATTTTGAAGAATGGAAGCTTGTCTAGGAGAAAAAAAGGTCTATGATTTCCTCTTGCTACTAAGAGGTTTGTTAGCTGTATTTTTAATGGCTATTTACCTGCTCTGGCAGGGGGTTTTGGACTAGATGATCTCCAGAGGTCCCTTCCAACCCCCACCATTCTGTGATTCATTTACTGAACTGTAAGCACTAAATTTTCCTAAGTGAACAACATGAGTGCTCAAATTTTTTTGAAAGTAATGTTGGAAAAGCAATAGAAGATACTCTTCTTCTGCATAACTTCTGGGTAACTGCTGGATAATGCTTCTGGATAACTGCTCTAGGAATGTAAAGGTGTTAGTGTATAGCTTGCCTAATCCTTGTAACCTGCTGTTAGTGTATTGCTTGCCTAATCCTCCCAGAAGAAGGTCACGAACAGCAGCTTGTTTACTCCAGTTGCCTTTGCCAAGAGGACATATCCTTCACATGCAAAATTGTCACGTCGTAATAAGTGAGGAAGGGACTATGATTGGGTTTATTTTGCAGATTTATTACGATTAGATAATGTGCTGCATGAGCTAATTTCAAATGTATTTTAAAAAATAGTATCTATTCTATGTAGCCACAATATTCTGAGATACTTCATTTGTGTGAAGGAGGAATGGAAATATGCTTTTATTATTACTCAAAATCTGTACTGTGGTAGAGAAGGAATACGAGGAAATATATTCCATCTGTGGTTAAGGAGCTGTCCTTCCTTGTAACTCAATCCTGCTGCTATTTGTCTGTTGTGTCCTCTCTGTTCAGAACAAATTGTCACACATAGCAAGATGATGATTTTATACTAACTTGTGATTTTTGCTGTTATTATTATTTACTTTTTTAGATGGTTCTTCTGAAAGCCAACTTTTAATGTGTTATTAATTCTCATGGGACAGCTGTAAAAATTCTTTCTTTGAAGCTGTCCTAATGCTATCTACACAGAGGAGATACTCACATGTATGTAGTTACTGGGCAAAGAAACGACGTCAATGCAATAGGCAGCATATATCATATTAAGGCATAACCTTAATATCCGAGTTATGAATTTTCCCAGTCATTATTTACAATTACTGCATTTGCTCTAAAAGCTGCTAGCATGAACAAAAAGCTCATTTAGTGTGTAATTAATGGTTTCAAGGTTTGAATTCAAACGTATACAAAAAGTTGAGGTTGTCGTTGCATTGCCTTATGCTAGAGACATGCAACTTCAAGAATAAAATACTTACCTGATATGTGTCTCTCCAATCATTGCAGTATTTAATTTTCATTTAATTGTTTATGAATTTTAAATTGGCAGACTAATTAAAAATAGTAGCAAAAACTTTTTAAATTAAGGAAGTAATTTAATCTTAGTTAAATATTTTAAAATATTAGAATCTTAAAATTTTACAAGTTGCTTGGACTGGTAAATGTGAAATATGCTTTGTTATTAAACCCATTTTTTCTAAAGCATGGGAAAATTCACACACACACGCAGGTATTATAAAATTGTGTGAAAAAACAAAGAAGAAAAGCATGAATTGTCAAATTGCAATCCACTTGATTTTGTTAGAGACCCTGGAATAAGCACTGATGTGTATGTAATGTCTGTCTGGTCTGTCTTGTTCATCACCCCAGTGTGGAAGATTTTAAAAACACTGCTGCTTTTGTGAGACTTATTTTGAGATATAAAGGCTGACGTGAAATGTAGATATTTTGGTTGTGACATAAGTAGTTGTCACAGACCTTAATTTAGTCACACCATAGTATTTTTATAGCTGACTTAGGCAGAAAACTGACATTGTCATTGCAGATTCCTTTGTCTCTTATTTATGAGTTATCTACTTTCCTATTTCTGTGCATCATTCAAATATTTAGAGATGTTTGTTCAACAGAAAGAAAAAAATCCAGCTTTGTAACTTGCAGTAGCTGTTAGCCAAGGACTGAACAGTAGCTATTAGCCAAGGACTGGTGCTTTTGGAAATCAGATAACAGTACGTGGAAAATTTGCTCACATAGGAATAATATTGCTAGTAGCATTAGCCTTTCTTTTTTTTTTAAGACAAAAATTATACATGTCTTTGTTCATAAAAACAGCCAGATAACTTTTTTTTGTATATATCATATATATATGATATAAATATATAATATATATAACATATAATATTTTTAATAAGATACATTTTTAAATTGGTACTGCAGTCCAAGTGAGTTATGTATGATGAAACATGATAGTTGATAGAGGTAAAGCCAATATTCCAGTGGGTCAACCTCAGAAAGTTAATTTAAGGTAGCGATGTTTGTGTCTGCAGTAAGCAATAATGAAAAATTCCAATAAAGCTTTGATTCATTATCCTGTACGAGCCCTAAATGTAGGAATTTCTGTAAGTTTTATTAGGTATTTAAATATGAGGATGTTTTAGTCTTTCCTTCTGCTAAAAATTAACAACTGCATTCCAGTTTTGTATCTTTTTTTTTTTTTTTTAAATCATAGACAAAACACAGTGTTCCTGTAAGTCAAAGAGAGATTTGGTTGTTTGTGACTGACTCCACATTGCAAAATGGGGTTCATATCACTCCAAAAGTTGTTGCTGTGTCAGTCGCTGCATCGTTTGTTCTCAGTACGGAAATCACAGAAACCCTCAGTGTTGCCTCGCAACTTGTCTTCTTCAAGGATGCGCTGTGGGGAAATGGTAAGCTTTACACATGGTTTTGAAGCAGTTGGAATCAAACTGAAATAGCATCCTAATCTCTGACACTGCAATATATGACCTACAGAGACTTTCATTCTCAGATGAAGATGAGACATTGCAAATTTGGGATGAGAAATTTGAAAGAGGTTGTAATTAGAGCTTTCCTGTAAGGTTTCTTTTTTATTTTTTTGTCTTGATCTCCAAAGTAAATGAGAAATTCAGGGATCTTGCTGTATGTCCATCAATATTGCTGTCTGTCTTCCCTGATGACTGTTGAATATAATGACCAGTGTCAATCAAATTTGCTAGCTGACAGAAGACTCAAAAATATTAAGGAACTTGGTTTCATTTGTTTGGATATTCTTGCAGAAACTTGTGTTATTGACCTCTAAAAGGAGCAAAAGAGACTTGCGCGTCACTAGATACAGGAATTTTACAAACTCTCCTGTACCATCTTAGCTGTGAACCTTTGCCACCATGCAAATCGTGTAATGATGGTAGTTCACTTTACATTCATTTTTAGTCTCCCTTTTTTGAGGTTCAGGTAGGGTTCTGTATGGTGCCTGCGTGGGTAGTTCACATCTCACACCCTTGGTCACTTCCAAAATGTAAGTGGACTGGAAGCACCAACCTGTGTAGATGGCTGTGTGTCCTGAAGCAGAAATCTCTGCTCTGGAGAATAAAGCATTGCGTGCACCTACTCTTTGTAATCTTTGAAGCAAATTAAGACCAAGGGTGCCCAAGCTTATTACTGGGGAAGAGATGCTAACATTATGTTTGCAGGGAGCATGGTGCAATGCAGTCCGGGTGGAATCCTCTGCCATGTTCGAATTTTTAAAGCATCTTTTTTCCTTGGGAGTTGTGAAGTGTAACGAGAGCATGATGCATGTATCGCTGAAAGCAAAATATTTTGTCATTGAGAAAACCTGATGGAGTTTATCCATCTGTTTAGTAGCTGGCAGAGATCGTTGTCTTTATTGGCCATGACAATTAACATGGTCACCTTTTTCCTTGTTACTGTACTGACTTGAAATGTCTTTGTTGGCAGGTAGGATTATTTGTGTTGAACGTACTGTTCTCTTATTACAAAAGCCTCTTTTGTACTCGGCTGCCGGTGCTGACCTCAGTGAGCTGACTGGCCCTGTCAGACTCGATGAGCTGGATTCTACAACACAGGCCAACTCCGTTTGTGCTGTAAGAGGTTCGTATGGCCTTTCCTGAAACGAATGTGGTTAATTATTTGTGCTCACTTTAATCTTTTATGTCTTCATACTGATTTCTTGCACGAACAGCGTGGAGGGTGAAAAAGCACAGTATTGCTGTGGGTCATTAGGATATTTAAGTTTTTATACTTCTTTGTGGGCTCTGTTTGCCTTTTGCTGGCCAAGCTCTGCTCCCACTCACTCATACCCCAGAATAAATGTTTGATGCACAATCTGTTTTATGATATTCCTTCCTTCGCCGTCTTCTTTCAGGAGCCTTCTGTTCACACCAGCCGTGTTGATATTGGCAACAGTAAGGTATACCAATATTTTTTAGGCAGATGGATGAGATATGTTAGCCAGATCCTGAATGGTAGGGGTTAGTGTCTGATTTCACTGGAGCTTTGCTGCAAGTGGGGCAATTTAATATTTCACCATAGTCATCTAGCATAACTTGGCCAATATTTGCTCACCAGCCACTTTGGATCATTGCTTTGTCTAATATTTCAGTCCTCCACTAACCATGCAGAAAGATTTCTTACAATGTATTTTCTAACATTTCTTAATCATGCAGAAACATTTCCTACTGTGTATTTTCTAGTGCTTTGTCCAGCCAGCTTCTAAACCTCCCAGCTGTAGAGTGCCTATAGGGAAAAGTCCTTAAAAGCCCAATAACTCTTGGCTTTTAAAGCCTTTCTTGATTTAACCCATATGATTCCAGTAGCCCCTGAAGAAAATTCTTGATACTGTTTTACATTTACACCTTCAAGTATTCACTGGAGCATTTGAAATGATCTTTAAAGTAATAGCAAATAATGGCTACAAATGAATCCTTCCAGCTATAACTTGATGCACTGAAAAGACACTTTGAAACCACACAAAGCTGTTACTAAACATACCTTCTCTTATGGTAGAGCCGCAAGTTAGCAATGCCTCTGTGATTAATAAATGAGCACCTTCCAGTGACAAATCTTGAACTCCACCAATGCATAATGAAGAACAACCACAACTAGAGGCACTTCACTGGAAGCCTCGGTTGTTGCATACATCTCACGTCGATATTGTGAGTTACTTGAAAGATATTTCTGTCACTGGGTGTGAAATCCTTTTTGGTGTGATTTTTTTAACCTCTCCAAGAGGTTAAAAAAACCTCCAAGAGTTATCACTTCTGCACTCTTAATTTTATAACTAAGTATGAGAAGTGCCTGTCTTCCTTTGTCCTATTGACAGTGTACATAGTAGGATAAAGCAAACATTTCTCTGTCCTTTCTTTTTCCAGTAGAGCAAAGAAAATACACCTTTGTGATCTATTGTGTAAACAAGTACTTACTTTACACATATGGACATGTCATGCTTTCCCTGTTCTGTATTACACATGGAAGAATGACAAAAGGAGAAATTAATCCTACAACTTTGTCTTGCTTCATCTGAAATTCTTCCGGGGTAGCTGTTATCAGTATGTTCCCACACGTTTGTACCAATGTAGAGTATAAAGTGTCTTCTTTATACCTATGCTAATGCTATATATAGATGATAACTCTCACTTTTATGTGTAATTAAAATTATTTAATAGCATTTAAGATACATATCTCTCCAGTGTTTTGGAATTCAGTTAGTTGTTGCCTACATCTTTCTACTGAAGAAGTGAAGCTGATAGCGTTAACCCTACTTTGTTGATGGGAGACTGTATTTGATGGAGTAACCCATGAAGGAAAATCTATCATCTCTAAAATTCACTCACTGTCTCTGTCTCTTAACTCAGAGTTGTTAGTCTGCTTTCAATGGGAGGCAGTATTACCTCGTTCATTCGTTCTCTTTGCGTCCTCCTTTCGCTTCCTGTACTTTCGGTCACCTACGTCTGCTCTACGTGGGCCTCCTCTCACCTAACGCTCAAAAAAAGCTGCAGTGGCTTTACCCTACCCCTTCTTGAAGTAGTGCTCCTTCCTGCTCCTTTGCAGTCATGGCTGCTCCTCCTGGCTCCCAGCAGTTCAGACGGCTCAACCTTCCCTAGAAAAACTTCTTTTGAACTGGTGGGAAATGTGGGTGGTGATTCAAGTCCCCATCCACAGACACAGCAATTGGTCACAGCGTCAGAGCTCCCAAGAGTGCCGGGACTGGGGAGAGGCACAGGCCGTGCTGCCTGCTGGGTTTTAGGTAGATTGGTTATTTTTTGGAAGGTGTATAAATAGGGTAAGTTAGGTTGGAGGGAACCTCTGGAATTCCTCCAGTCCTAACTCCTGCTCAAAGCTGGGCCCTGAGCAATCTGGTACAACTCTGTCGCTGGCCCAGCTTTAAAAGGACAATGTCACAATCCAAGCAGATCCACTAAGTTTGTCAGAAATCCTTGTTTCAGAGAGTTCTGGTCATATCACTTATGGAATGTATTGTGTTGCACTTCAACAGATGAGTGAAAACCTGCGGTTGCTTTCTACTGGAAAGTTTATTCTTCTGTTAAAGATGAGTCAGTAGTTCTCACCTGTGAGCTCAGGGTTAATAGATTTCTTTTCTTATCGCTATGCATGGCAAAGTAGTTTCTAACCTCTTTTTGCTGTATAGTAGCAGTCAGGGTGACTTAAATGTTGGCAGTTCATACCACACAGAACTGTTTTTCCTCTTAACCATGCTTATGAGCAAATTCTAGTTGGTCCATACTACATATGTTATGTGGGAATATTACTTGATTAATGACATTTGCCTGGTATATGACTCACCAGCAGTGGTTGAATTTTGACACTGGATATTTTCATATTTAAGCCCCTACTCAGAGGTGGGGGTTTTTTTCAGTTTCCCTCTTAACAGTGTGAACAAAACAGGGTCAATCAGCTTACCTAGGTTTCTCTTTTTGGTTGAACTTTTCCCCTTCCTGTCCATTAATCAGGGTAACTGATTGGAAAAAAAAAAAAAAAAAACCCAAGCCAAAAAACAAACAACGTTCATTTTTTCAACATTGCAACCAGGGTGTTACTTTTGATCCTCAGCCCTTCTTTGCGCTCCTCACTAAAGACCTGTTTTTCCAGGTGTTGTCCTATTATCGGTCTCTTCTTAATTATGTGAGCCACAACCCAGAAAAATAGACTAGAGGTAAAAATCAAATTTGGGTTATGTGACTTTCCATTTAAAAGAAGGATCTTGGGGAAATATCCAAAAGGTTTGTGAACGTCAAGCAAAATCTAGAGTCTTGACAAAGATGTACAGCAGTTCATCAGCTTAAACTTGAGAAATCACTTTACATGCAGGATGCACAAGACTCTCACCAGATTATTAGACCTGTTGCTGCTTTGAGTTGTTCTGACTTCAGTGATTGCTGGTAGTTTCCTCAAGGGAACTCTGCATTGTCGTCAGAATAAACCTCTCCAATAGACGTAATCTCATCAGTATGATCCTGTTTCATTTTCTTTCGTGATCTTCAGACTTGCTGTCCTTTGAATTCCCAAAGAAAATTACAGTTTTGTTGTTTATACGTCGCTCCCTCCTTCCTGTCAGTCCTTGTCCCTGGAGAATCAGGAAAGCAAGGGATTAACGCCCTGTCTTACAAACAGTGTAAATGCTCCCTAGTCTCCAGGGGTTTCTTTTATTGAATGTTCTATAAACTGTGAGATTCTTGCTCAATAGGAGCTGGAATTTTTAGTCTATACTTCAGTTGTACCAGTGAGGGTCTATTTTAGTGTAATTTCATTCTTACAGGTGATCCACTTTGCATGGTTCAAAATACTTAGAAGTACTTTCTCCATAAATAACGCTCATAATTTCAGTGTATTATTACCATAAAACATAATACACTCTTTATTGGCTTCTCGTAAAGCTCTGAATATATATTTTCTTGCCAAAACTAGCAAGGCCCTTTATATTAGTCCAAAGTATCTTTGGCATTCCTTTCTTAGGCACACACTTAAATCTGTGGGCCAGATCTAATCTCTGTTAAATCAGTATAAATGAAGAATAACTCCATTGTTAATGGAATTTAACCTGCATCATTGTTTTCAAAAGGGCTTGGGTCTTCTCATTGGTTTGTGTTTCCTAAATATCAATATCAAGCTATCTGACTGTATGATTTTTATAGTTATTTATTGCCAAGAAGATATCAGAGCACCAGAAAGAAAACAAACAAACAAAAACGAATCAGAAAACCAATAAAACCCAAATCAAAAGAACTGAACCTGTTGTTTGGAAAGTTAATTATCTACCTTCTGGTATTTTTAGAGTGTAACACACTCTGCCGTACGGTCATCCCTTGTTGGAGGGACGAAGAAGAAAGAGAGTGAGATCGTTGGAAGAGATGATGTTTGCTCTGAAAAGCATTATTCTGAAGATGAGAGTCAGAAAGGATCAAACCTGCTGTGAAGCCAGGAGTGGCTGCATGTGATAGCTTACCATTAGTATTTTGTAAGAATTTAATCTTCTGCAGGTACTGTTGTTGGAGTTAATGAGAGCACTGCTTTCTCCTGGCCTACATGCGACAGATGTGGCAATGGAAAGTTGGAACTGTGTCCCCAGGACAGGTGAGAGTCAGCATGCTCCGGAGCACTCCAGGTGTTTTGCAGATGTAGCCATAATAGCAATAGGTGATGCAATGATTCCTGCAGGCACAGGCTGCACTTTGTTCCTTCCTAGAGCTAAGACGTAGTATTTTTATTGCTGATGAACTGATAAAACCTGCAAGGTTAGATTAATTTATTAAGAAAGATACAAGTAGATATGAAATGGTTTGAATTTGCAGTTATCACATTTTTTTTCCAAACTAATCTTAAAGTGTTGCCTATAAAGATTTCACAGCCCACTGCATTATAATATTAATTTTAATAAACATCTGCATAAATCACAGGTTGGATTTTATGCTCCTTGAAAAGTAGCTTCTTGTGTTTCTCTGCCCTACCTTGTTACCCTCTACTCCACCAATTCACCTCATTTTTATATCGAACTGTGATCTTTGTTGTAATTTACGTAGGTGTGAAAGAGAATCACTTCAGACCTATTAAATTTATAACCTTTCTAAAAAGGACGTTGAATAATTCTGGGAGTACAACTGTCCCAAATGTGAAGACTGATCTTACAGGACCTGTTCCCACCTGAACTTCTAAACCTGCATCGACACTGGCACGCTCTTGAAAAGACTCCCCTTCAACTGCTTCGCCAGCTTGCTCTTGCGGAGTCTGAGATACCTCATGGGATAAAAACATGAGAGGATAAGAGAGAGAGAGCAGTCAGGGTGTAAAAGAAGTAAAGGGGGGTTCTTTCTGCTGGAAAAGCTTACAAAAAGTCTCAGAAGAAGTTGGGTGGGTTGGATCCCATTGAAATAGATAACATTTTCCTAAACATGAGAAGCTTTTCCGCTTATGCTTTGTTATGTATAGCCTGCAGGGGAAAAAGGCTGAAAATAAAAAAAAAAATGAGGTTGTCCTATATTATGTTATCATCCAAAAATAAGGATGTGTGTATGTTCACATAGTAGTGTTGTTCAATAAAAAAAAAAAAAAGTAATTACTGTGAAGGACACTTTTGCTTCATTTGGAGAACAATGAAACATCAATATTTATTTAAGACTTTATTCCAACAAACACTTATAGCTTAGCTTAATTTTATGCGTATGACTTAAGCATGTGCTGAGAATGTTGAACGTTTGCTGAACGAGGGCCTAAATCAATAAGTCACTTGGGCCAAATCTATACTACAAATTTTCTTTTGCTATAACTTCTGGGTTATGAGATTAATATTTGCTTAAGTGAGGTGACTATAAATAGCAACCTGTCCCCATGTTGCCAAAACTTATAAAAGGAAGGTCTTTTTGCTAGAAGAGTTTAGGTCCTCCAAGAACTATTTAGCTCTGCCAATAGAAGAGCTCTATTTGCTATTATCAACTGAATCTCTACTGGGGCTTTTCTACTAGAAGTCTACCAGCAAAGTATTTTAGAGAATAAGATAGATGGGGTTTTGTGTGTTTTGGTTTTATGACTGATAACTTTTCCATTTCTCTGTGTGTTTTCATCATTATTTGCGTGTTTCAGAGGTTTACCATACTGCCACCAGTGCTCCAAAGTTGTCGTTTCACCAGTTTTGAAAATGCAGCTGGAAATCTTCTTGAGTTGTCCATCCCGTTCTCAAAGCACAGTAAAAGTAAAGGTATGGCATGAAATGAGCTTCAGTGTGTTGAGTATAGAGAGACTAGATATGTACACACTTAGGTACTCTAAGCCACACTTTTATAAACCGCTCTGTCAGAAGAAAAATTAACAGATGTAAGAGTATCCCATAATTTAATCTGATACTAGGCTTGTTTTTCATTGGACTGAGGATCCAGTTCCCAGACCTTACACAAATAATGCAGTCATTGAGTTCACCCTGAGGTTTCCAAACTGTTTTATGCTCCATCTGAAGGCCTCGATGGGTTGGGCCCTTGGGAAACCTCAATCTCCACAACCTAAAAGGAACGTGTATTTTTAGACTTCCATTCTGAACATCTTTTGTGCCACCTGTCCTCTGCAATCTTGGCCAGAGGCATAAAACCGTTCTATATGAAAGTTATTAAGCTTTGTTTAACGTGACTTTTAACCTGCAAGATTTTTGCCATGAACAAAACCTGTTAATTTTCTCATTCCAGCTGTTACAAAAGACAATCTCTTCTCTCCTGACGTCCTCCGCCAGTGAGGATGGGGTAAGTGTAATGAATGTTGAGGAAAGAAGGTTAAACTACGTAACTTAGTGTAGAAGCAGAGTGCAGGAGACGTGAATCAGGTGGGAAGATACTCGAATCATAGGAATGAAAGGGACTCCTGGAGGTCATCATCCAGCCTGCCACTCACACTGGCCTATTGCCAGCTTGTGGGCCGGTCAGCCGTGGCTTTGGCTGGCAGGGTCTTGGAAACCTGTGAGGATGGAGGTTCCACCACCTTTCCAAGCAGCTCATTTCAGAACTGCACGTGGAGCAGTAGGAGATTCCACTAGAAATAATGATTTTTTTTTTTCTCGTGTCCAGCCTGGGATTTGAGTGGGCCGGACCCTTTGGCAATCCCACCTTCTACCTGCTGATGCCCTGCTATTGCGTGACTATCGTCAGGCTGACACCCTCCTTTTTAGCAGAGGGATCCCGCAGATGGGATGAGTAGAGAGCTTCAGCTGAGCTGTGGGATCTGCAGAACTGTCTGCAGAGAGCAGCATGTCCAGACAGACATTCAGAGCTGCGACGAGCAGCGCTGGGCTTCACTCCATTTTCTGGCTGAAGGTCTAAAGGCAGCAAAGAGACAGTCCAAGCATCCCACCTTTTTGGGCTGGTCTTCTAAACCCTATAAACCACAGCTACTTTCTAACAACACAACCATGAAATTACTAGCAGGCGGTGATAGTAGAGAAATGTGCAAAACACGTGCAAGATGATAATGCTTTATAATTGTGTGAATGGAACACGCGTAAGCCACAGGGATCCACGGGCTAAAGTACAGTTTATGTAATCGTGAAGTAGGTATTCCTTTAATCTGAGATATCAGAAGAACCCTGACATTTGGCACAGTGACCCAGATTTATCGCAGGTGAGGGAGGCACCCCAGTAGGTGCCTGGCTGGCATTGGCTGCCGGGTGGTCAGCAGCGAAGGAGCGGCTCCTTCAGAGGGTGATTAAGTCCAATTAGGATCCCGAGATCCCCCCCCCTCCTCCATTGCATGTGGAAGAGAGCAAAGGTCAGCTTGTTGTCTTGTTTAATCAGCCCAGCTAAGTATCTTCGGTTAGGTGACACGTATTGGGGTCATTTTGCTTTCACTGTCTTATACAGTGTTCTAGCCTTTTGCTACCACGTGCTCCATGGTTTTAATGGGATTTATGGGTAATTTTTAAAGTGGGACATTTCTCTGAAATTGTAAATTATTTTTCTCGTGCTGGAGGGTGTATCTTTCATTTTAAGCAAAGAGATAACAAAAAATTTCCAAAATATGTTTGCTTTTTTAATAGCAGTTAAGTCTTGCTAAGTTTTACAGGATGTGCCTGGTTTGGTTACAGACTGACAAAACATAATTCTTTTTGGAGTTATAAGAATTCAAATAACCTCTTTTTCACGTTTCAGTTTTTATATTTAGAAGTCTGGCAACTTAAAAACATTTTTTTTTTCCCGTAGCTGAAATGCAGGGATAATTTTTTCCTTTTTTTTCTTTTCATAAGCATTTCTGTCCCTCAACCACTGCGTTTTAAAAAGGAGCACATCTCGACAAAGATTAATCACAAGAAATACCACTTGAGGTGGCATTTTTTTGCCAGTGCTGTTAAGTTTCGGAGGGTGTAGCTTTGTAATACTTCTTTTGGCGGGGAGGTTGGTTTTAGCCGTCGCTGCCCCTGGCCACTTGTTCCTTACCTTGTGACACCCCTTCTGTTACACCCGTGTAGCTGTTTGCGCAGCTGCGTGGTGAATTGGACCGCAGAACCGGTCTGGGGTAAAAATAATCTCGGGGAAAAAAAGAGGAGAGGAGAGGAGAGGAGAGGAGAGGAGAGGGGAGGGGAGGGGAGGGGAGGGGAGGGGAGGGAAGGCAAGGCAAGGCAAGGCAACGCAAAAAAGAAAAGAAAAGAAAAGAAAAGAAAAGAAAAGAAAAGAAAAGAAAAGAAAAGAAAAGAAAAGAAAAGAAAAGAAAAGAAAAGAAAAGAAAAGAAAAGAAAAGAAAAGAAAAGAAAAGAAAAGAAAAGAAAAGAAAAGAAAAGAAAAGAAAAGAAAAGAAAAGAAAAGAAAAGAAAAGAAAAGAAAAGAAAAGAAAAGAAAAGAAAAGAAAAGAAAAGAAAAGAAAAGAAAAGAAAAGAAAAGAAAAGAAGAAAAGAAAAGAAAAGAGAAAAGAAAAGGGTTGTTTATACCCTGAATCGGGCAAGAGACGTGGGTATCACATACCTGTACAAAAATGCACAGCCCAGATGAAAGCAGGGACTTGGTCAGGGGCTGGGTGTAGGCAAGTCCCTTTGAGGGATGGGTGTAAACCTGCCGTCTGAGAGAGAGACCCTCTCGGGCGAGGTATCAGCTATTGATATTACCAGCTCTTCTCTTAATGTGCTCTCTCATCTTAGAGAAGTCATCCCAGCCCTGCATCCCTCTCCTCCACGCAGAATACCGTCTCTACAAGTACGCTCAGGCACAGCGCGTGTAGGTAAAGTGCCAATCGGATCATTAAACAGAAGGGACTGTGTAGGTGCCAGTGACTGTAAACGATGCATGATACAGCACAAAGTTAAAAGGAAGGAGGGCTAAAAAGAGTTACAAAGTATTTTTTCCTTTAGTGGGTCTGTTAGCTAAGGTAATTGATATGATATATGGTATGTATATACACATTGCTAGCACATGGGAATTCCTAGGAGTGTCAGAAAGCTGGATAAAGGGAGCACATGTAGGTAACGCTTCAGCAAAATTGAGTTCAATGTCACAGTAGTGCTTTTCTTTTTGGGGTTTTTTTTGTTTTTTTTTTAAACAACTCATTTTTAAAAGCCTGCTAGGGAAGCAGCACTTTAAGCAGGAGTGAGATCTAATTATTGAAAATCTGCTGTAGTCATTCTTTCCATCATTTCTAAGGCACCTTTCTTTCTAAATCCTTTAAAAAATTGCCTGTTGGAAAGAGGACCTTATACCCTGCATCTTCCGAGCCGAACGCCGCTTAGAACAGAATGTCCAGGACTGTTTGTTTTAATCAACATGCTTTTATCACTGCAGAGTTATGAGGTGCAGAGCGTGCTGGGAAAGGAGGTGGGGTTACTGAACTGCTACGTCCACTCCGTAACCAGCCACCCCAACTGTGTCGCGCTGGAGGAAATCGTTCTTCTGGAAGCAGTGGCAAGACACTGAGCTGAACTCTAGTCGGCTCCTACGGTATCTGTGGACTTTGTAATGTGGTTATCTGTTAACTAGTGCCACAGATAATGTATAATGCAAGTGGGATAAGTATTAAGATAGTTTATTCAAACTGTGATTTACAAAGCACGATGTGCCAACACTGAAGAACAAAATGTTAAAAAATATCTGTTCAACGCTCTGAACTCTTCTTTTTCGGACCGGTTCAGAATTTAGGAATAGAGTTCTTTGGCATGTTTGCTGTTCATGTGTGTAAAACATCTTGTTCTGGAAGTTTTGAATGGTTGCGATTTTTTTTTATAATATTCTATTTATTATGTGTCGATGGAAAATATTTTACTGATATTTTTGAAATAAATACCTTGCTATGAGCACTGAACATTGGTCTAAGCTGAGTTTTTTCAGTGGATTCCAGAGGTACCGCCAGCTGCAGAACACTTGTGTTCTGCGCAAATTCTGAGCTGTAACATTTGTTATCACCTTGCAATAAATGTTATAAAGACAGAGATTTGAACAAAGCTTATATTTTGAAGTGTCAAGCATATATAAAGTTAATGTTTTACAGCTAATTGGTCTCTAAGCATGCGAGTACCATGTTATCTGGCGCTTCCCACAAAGCCGGTGTTTCATTATGCAGTTTCTGTTATGGGTAACGAGTAAACTGCTTTGTAGGCCATGTAACTATCCTCACCCTGACTATACAGAGACATGGATTACAGATCAGTTAAAATAATATCAAAATCTTCCTATGTGTGCATTGTTGGAGATGCAAGAATTAATGTAGGAGTTCAGTCAGAAATCAGGTATTTTCTTTCTTCCCCTTTTGTGGTATTTAAAAAACCCGTGTAGGTCAGAGGAGGAGGAATGAATGGTTTTGCGCGGGTCCCCGGTGTTTGATGGCCCAGCGGAAAAGGGACAGCAAACTTCTTGCTACACTGATCGTTCCTGTGGCTGAGGCCGATAGTGGAAAGTATTATATATGTTACAATTGCTACAGGAATGACCCAGTTTTTGAATCCCCCCTGTTCCCCTCTCCTCCAAGTGTTTCTTTACCTGCCTCCCTGTAAGAAAAAGGGGACCTCAGCCCATCCCCATGCCTGGGACGCTGCCCAGTACGCCAGCATGGTGGCCCCTTCGAAAACAGCAGGATTTCACTCTCTCAAAGAGCACTGGCTGTTGGAGACGCTTGTCCTGTCAGGCCATGTTTCTGCCAGTGCCCTACAGATGCTGTCTTCTTTGCAGTGCACTCTTCAGACAAGTAACCCAACCTTTTGTACTGTATTCACTCAGAGATTGGCGTTGTTGCCTGCTCTGACTTTCACTAGCCATGATCCGTGGAAGTGGCCAACTCCTACACTGCGATAGCCTACAGCAGGCTGAAGCGCGCCTGTGGGACAGCATCTCCGTTGGGACTACAGCTGGCGGGATAACTTGGGAGCGCATCAGTGTAGGTGCAGCTGCGTATTCTCTGGAGCAGAAACCGCTTCGAGGGGTTTTTTTAAAAGGAATTTTAAATAACAGTGGTGTGTTCAGGTATACTTTTTTTTTTTTTTTTTTTTTCCACTTTTGAAACAATTTTCCCACTTATACCTACTTTCTCTGCTTTTGTTCCCAGTCTAAAGCACATGACCTGCATACCTTCTGAATGAAATTAAAGAACAAAATAAATTTCCAAAGCATCTCCAGTGCACTCCATGTGCTAGGTGCATCCCTCTGATGGAAACAGAATATAATCAGTCCCGAGGAGGAGATGAGAACATGCAGAGTGTGGTTTTATTATTATTAGAAATGCTGTAAAAATTGATATAAAAGGTCGAGCATGCTCAGTCTTTTTTTTTTTCCAATCCTACTGTCTAAAATACATGGGGTTTTGAATCATTTTAACAGATGTACCATAGCTGCATCGGTATGAGTAAAATGTAGAAAAGACGAAAACTACCATTACAAAAATAATTTAAGGGGAGAGAAAAAAAAAAAAGAAGAAGATATTTAGCTTTTCTTTCTTTCTTTCTTTCTTTTTTGTTTGGTTTTTTTTTTTTTGCAAGTTTCGTGGTGAAAGACCCGGGCATCGCC